CAGTTACAAGTATTGACTATATATTTGCTCAGAGCAAATTGTAATTTTCTGTTTTGAAGTTCTTCATCTCATTGGTTCATACAGCCTTAACTATATTTGATATTTAAATGCCTTTACCTACTTATTATGTCAGGACACCCCTGATATGACTGATAAATAAATAACCTTTACTTGAGGTAAAAAATTAATGTATCTTTTTTTTTTTCATATACCTTTTTACTTCCATACACCTTTCAGGCAGCACTTACCTGATCTTTCACTTTGAGGATTTCCTAAATGGCATTGTAATCTAAATTGAAGATTTAAGGAGACCAGAGTGAGAAGTGACAAAAACAGAGAGAATGATCAGAAGAAGAAGAGGACCATGGTGAAGAGAACCTGAGAAGCAGAGAGTCAAACTGGGATCTAAAAGATTGACTCTGTTGAAGACTGGATTTTCAGGAAAGCAAACTTTAAGAGAGTTTAGAAAGAAGGATACTTTTTAAGTGTCTCCACAATTAATACCAATGAAAAGGAGGTAACAGGCAGCAAGTGCAGGCAGAAGTTGAACTGTCATACAGAACTTAATGACAGTCTCAGCTGCCCCTACAGCATCTCTGGAGTTAGAATGACCCTTCAAGTTGTCACTGCCTGGGCTGAAAGGCTTCTCACAGTCCTCTCTCTCCAGTCAGCTCACTCACTACATGCGGACAGTGCTAGGAAAGTTGTGGTTATGGAGTGGGGTGTGTCTGAGTTGAGATGATGGTGACGGGAAAGACCACTGTAGGCTGCCTGCTCTCAAACACATATTAGCAGCAGAGATGCCACATCCTGTATTGAAGCAGTAGGCAGGCAGGCAGGCAACACAGCGTCCATCAGTGATTCTAACTTCATATTCTGAAGTGGAATCTTAGAGGCAGAAAATAGTTTATCAGTTACAAATTGGAACATGAAACCCAGAATTTAGCATTCCCAGTTTTTTTAGTATTTTAATCACAAAATGTGCTGAAGTTTACTTTGGAATGAGTAAGTGAGGAAATATTTAATGGCTTATAGAATTTTCTTGAATGGGATAAACAAAAGGAATATATCCAAAGAATTCCAGACAGGTTTTCATAGAGAAGATTTAAATTATGAATAGAGGATTATATGTCAAAGTTCTACATGGAAGTTTTATTATTGGTTAGCTTTATGTATATTTTCGGGGCACTCTGTTGCCTACATACATGTTACCAAGAAAAAACGACATTAATGTCTCCTTTTTCTAGGTCAGTTTTCAATGGTCTTTAATGGGAAAAAACTTAAATTGATGACTATGCATAGGATGGCACAAATGAGATGAATCTATTTTATACTTAGTAAGTTGATTAACCTCTCTGCTTCTTCATTTACTACTTTTACTTTAAAGTGATAAGACAGTATAATAAACAACTTCCTATTAAAATTCTATAGATAGTATTCGGTATATTATGTTGCTTCCCCTCATCCAGCACATTTTAGTCACACTATCCCTTCTGTTCTGTGTACCTTTCCACCTCAGGATTCCATAATCATTTCTTCTGCCTTGAACACTGACTTTAAGTCATCACACGATGACATGACCCTACAGGATAGCTTGAGAAAAAAGGATACGATGAGTTCCTCTTACGGTTACCACACAATCTACAACTTTCCTTCCTAAGCGAAATTTCCTTTACATTAACTTATTTTATTATCTTGGTAACGTAATTGTGACACTTCATCTTGTTTATATATTTATTTTTTATTTGCTAGTGAGTCTAGAGCACTAGATCAATGGCTGGCATGTGAAGTTTAGTAATGATTCATATGAAGGAACAAATGCAGGAAGTGAAACCATGAATGTGGGCAATGAATGAATTGCCAATGATTCATGTGATTTTAAATATACATCAGAAACACCATAGTAAAATTATTTGTTTAGGGGAATCATTCATTCTAAATTTCTGAATAAATGTTACTAAAAGAAGGGACTGCTACCGTATCTCTGAATTTGATAATTTTCATTAAATAAGCTCTCTAAGTTTTTAATCTGAGTCATCCTAAAGGGCATAATGAAGCATAATAGGAATATATCTCTATTTTCACAAATAATATATTTTTCAAAGTAACACAAAAAATTGACTGCTTGGGTGACATTATTATACATTCTGGTTGGCAAAACTTTTTAACAAAAATGTTGAAAATTCTTAAGAGAAACTTTCCAATTTTACATTAAAAACAAGCCTATAATAATAAAGAGACAAACAAAAACAAGTTAGAACACTAGACTTAGAATAGTATTTCTGCAAGAAACTTTTACAATTTTTGGCTAGCTTTTAAGCTAGGAATATAAGATGTCTCAGGAGATTCACCAAGTGCAGGAATTCAACCGTTGACAGAGTCAAATGGAATGTCCTTTGTGATCCTCGCTGAACATTTACCCTCACACTGAAATATGAATCATTTTATTTATTGATGTCTACAAATTCAGTGAAACATTAAATCATTTGTTTTTAACTAGGCACGCTATTAAACTATTTTTTCTGAACCTATTTCAAGTTATAAAGTTCTATCCATGTTCTCTTCTCTTTATTAGGGAAAAATTCTTTGATTTACCAAAAATTCTGTCTAGTAGCTCTCTCTCTCTCAATTCTATAGTTATTCTAGCAATGTGATTCTTGGTGGAAAACGCCATGTTTATCTATCCACACATTTATTTTAAAGAGAATTTTATTCTATCTTCATTCAAACATCATCTTTGGACACTAATGAAGATATAGGAAAGCCTGGTGTAAGAAAATAGATTTTCTTATAGAGGCCTCAGACAGAGAAATAATGGACTGATGACAGGATCATAAATTCACAAGCAGGCAAAACCTTTTAGTATGTGAAGAACTGATACAATAAAAGAAAGACATATTATGAATTATAACAGAAATAAGCATAAAGAAATTCCAGAATTATTTTTAAAATGCATATGCATGCTAAATTTCAAATAGTAACCAATCACTATTAGTTTTTCTATATTATAAAGCAGTAGTTCTATGATGACAAAGTGAAAACCTGGAAAAATGAAAAATTCAATCTCTAAAGAAGGTAAGATTCATAATAATTTTCACATAAACATTAATTCTGCGATTCTGTGTTGTGCCAGAGTCTATGTTACTATTTAAGGAAAGAGATTATATTAAGTAATATAACAATTCAGGGAAGAAAACTGAACACAGGCCTTGATCATATTCTACTCATATCTTAGCAATCTCACAAAACCAAAAATGTTTTCCAAATGAACTGTCACTTCACCTATGTGATACTATAACATTGTTACTAGCTTTAAGAAAACAGAAAACAAGTACAAAACTATGTTACAGGCAACTTTATTACAACACTTTTCCAAACTTTTAATTGTAATTATTATTGAATTATATCTAATATATAATACATTATATTACAAGACAGAAAGCATTCTGGTCAGGTATTTAGCTTGCATACATAGCCTAAAACAGCTTCCTAAGAATAGCAGCAATGCAGAACAGTTCATATCACTAAGTAAAATATTTGTCTGTCCCATAAAGAATCATTCCTATTGCAATTTATTTTATGTTGATTTCCTGTTTTAAAAACACAGCAATGAGATTGTTTTATATTTTACTAGTTAATGACTACAAGTTTTCTATAGCCGAAAAACATCTACAAGTTTAGAAATATTTCCTTTGGTACAAAACAATATTTTTTAAATTAACCAAACCAAAAGAACACTGTTTTTCCCTATAGCAAATAGGGGTAGAATTATCTTCTTTCCTCTTTTAGGAACCAAATTTGGTCTCCTTCTCTTTCTATAGCTATCCTGAATAGTACCTGCTTTAAAAGATACCAAAATATATAATGAACTCTACTCTAATAATACCTTCTGTTTTAACTTGTCTCCTCATATTTGCTTACTTCAAATAATTTACATCCCTTTTTGAAAATTATGCAAAAATTAACCCTTAAAAGTAATTTTAGAACTGTAATAACATAAATGAAATAATTTCCAAATTTGTTCATCTACCTCTGCTTCAAATGACCAACAAAATTCAATATACTAAAGAACTCCTTTTCCAAGGTTAGTACTCTAAGAACAATGGAAACATGTAAATCCACTGAAAAGATCTAGTCCCTTAATTTGCTTTCTTGGTTTAACATTTGTGAGTTACTGACTAATACAAAATGTATTCATCTTCCTCATTTTCACAACAGCCAGAAATTACAAAAGTTTAGAAAAGGTTAGACTTTTTCATAAGGCAAATTTAATACAGATTTTTCTATAAAGTGGGAAAAAAGAAAAAGTGAATGAGAAGATGTGTGCTGGCTGCTGGGGATGGGGGGTGGGGGCTAGACTCATAAATCACTGTACATTAAGAGCACGTGCTGAAACTTCATGATGCCAGTCACGTAATTGTGTGTATTTGGGACTAAAGACGTGAAGGGGTGTCTTTTCCCTGTGGAAATAAAAAAAGAAAAGAAAAGAAAAGAAAAAGTGATAGAAAAGTCATAAGAAAGAGAAAGATTCTACAATTAATTCACCATGCAGAAAACATGCCTTATAAAAAGCTTAATTTCACATAACTTTTATTTAATAGCAATGACTTTGAGAGTAGATATTTAGAGGTACCAAAATTAGTCTATGGAGTCCTCATGTAAACATCAATTTTGATGCACCAAATAAAGTGACGGCAACAACACTGAACTCATTTACAGTGGTCTGCAGTGTTAGCAAAGCACCGCGCTAAGCAGACCTTTTGCCCATTTATTTGAATACTAAAAATAAGCCTTAGACATAAATCCCAGACACTATCCACTAATTTAAAATTCTGAAAGTCATACATTTAAGCCCCACAAAAGGAACCCAAGTTAAATGCTTGGCTTCTAGTTGCAAACACAAAATGCCATACCATTACACTTGAAAATATGAAAAACCAAACTGAGACCATTCATGAAAGGAAAGCATTCAATTTATAAAAAAAAAATGGAGAACTTACTTTGCCTTCTTTGTATTATCAGTTTCAGATTCTTTCACTGAAATATATAACGAATATCCAATATTAGTTTCTTTCTTTTAAAATTTTTTAACTTTAAAATCACCTAAAGCAATTACCTATACCTATCAATATCAAATGATCAATTTGCAATGAATTACTAAAAAGTTTCATATCATGCTCTCACTGGCTATATACTATAGTCAGTCCTCCTTTATACTTTTCATTAAAACTTTTCTGGACTGGTTTCTTATTTACATTCCTATATTATGCACGGCATAATACAAAAGTCAGCTATATCAGGTAGATGACTGTCTTCCAATAAATTTTAATTCTACACTGTGGCAGAGAACATTCATCTCTTACAGTGCCCAGTATTCACTTACAATGTTCGGTCCCAGTGATCTGGGCGAGGATTCGAAAAGAGCGAGACTGAGTTGTTCCAGTCCTTGGACGCCAGTCCTCCGTATCCTCTATCAGTCTCTTCTTGCTGGCATCACTGTGAGTTGGTATGTGGTAAAACTCTGTATTGCGGTCCACAATGTGCTTTCTTGGTGGGCTACATTAAAAAGTAAAGAAAGACTTAAAGATTTGCAAATTACATTAAGAAGAAAATATCCTCTGCCACATTATCTATAATGTAGATTTTAATCCTCAACATCCCTTTTATATATTTTGCAAGTATACTAAGCCTAAATACTTTTTTTTAAAAGCATTCTTCCAAAATAGAGCAGAGGAAGCTCTAAAAAAAGTTTTAATAAAAGGTACTTATATACTAAAACAAATTAATAGTATATGTATTCAACAGAAAGTTTACCGTTTAGGTGGGATTTTCCTTTTAATTAACAGAAGAAGGCAGCAGCAGAAAGATTTCCAACATGAAGAAAAGAAAAAGAAAATAGTAAGAAAAGAAGGAAGATAACTAAAAATTGAAAAGTCCATAGCAGTGAAAATGAAACAAATTGTAATTATTTGTATTGTTCACCTCATGGCTAACTATATTCACATCCACTGTGAACTACTGATAAGTTGCTGAAATGTAGTGATTTTCACAAAATTAAATTATCGCCTCACTAGGTCCAAGAATCAAAAATGGTTTACTGAAAGCTAAACCAGCAATTTCAAACACAATTTTGAAAAGAGTAATAAATGCTATTTTTTACAGTTTTCTCACTCGTGTATACAAATATCCTTCATTTTTAATTTGTGTTCAGGATCCACACAGTAAAGAGCTGCAGTGTATCAAAGACTACTGAAATATTTAAATACTGAAATTTCAAAAGATCAAGATGTAACTCTTGGTTCTATGTGTTTTTAAACATTGGAAAAGTCAATCTCACAAGAATCACTTTTTCATTTATAAAGCAAGAATATAACATAAAAAGAGCATCATTCTGAGGATTACATAAATACATGTGAAGGGATTTGCAACTACAGTGCTTAAATAAGAGCTCTGACTTTTCTATGAACATTCATTTTTCTACAAAGGAAGCACAGATATAAAGGAATTTAGAGTGTACATTATTTTAAAACTTTAAGCAAAGAGCTATTGAACATGATAAATACTCCCCACCTCTCTCCCAACTGCCCCCAAAACAGGATATATGCAAACTTTTGGAGGTAATGTGTTTAATTTCAGAAGAGAAAGACATGAGTCTGGGAGAGCAGAGCAGATTACTGGCATAAGACCCAAATAAAGAAGTGTCACATGTAGATGGCAACACCTGCTAGGTATAACTCACTGTTAGACAATTACAGTGCTATCAGCATGACACTACCAAAACTATGCCAGAACACTGTAAGAGTTTTTACCCAGTGAAGAACATGATAGGACTAAAGTTAGCACTGATTTTAAAGTCACAAAGACATTATGTCAGGCACTACATCTTCCACTCCTCAGTGTGTGTTTCATGCAAGTCATTTAACTTCTCCAAGTCTTGATTTCTCTCATCTGAGAAATGGGGATTATATATACCTTAAAGGGTATTTGAGGAATAAGTAATATATGTAAAGTGGCTTCCAAAGAACCTAAGGCATAGTGATGATCAATCATCATGTGTTCCTTTATGATTGCTACAAAAATTATTTGCAATGCATGTCATTACATATATAAAGAACAGGAACAAAGTATTAACAAAAGATTGGTGATATTTATTAATTTATGGTATTATTTTAAAATTCCAGAAGTAAAATATCTGAAAGACCTTTTTACTAATATTGAACAAAACCTAATTCTTGGTAAAATAGACAAACCTTTAAGTATCTTATAGTCAGTGAGTGTAGTTTACCCTTAAATGGTGCTAATTTCAGGTATAAAACTATTTTATTCTCTATAAGATATTTGTTCTATGCAAATACACTACAATGGTGTCAAGTTAAGGCCATAAAAATAAAATGACACCACAGAAAGGCCTCCCTGGTGGCGCAGCGGATTGAGTACAGTGCTGTGAAGCTGTCTGCAGCCTCGGCAGCGCAGGTTTGATTCCAGGCCAGCCAGGGAGATTCCCACAAGGCACGGCAGACCTCTCCTGTGGTGCTCACAAAACCCTCAGCAGTGCTTTCGATCCGTCTGCCTGTTCTGCTCCCCGCTCTGTCTCTGGTGAATCCTCTCACCCTCCCGCGCCTCTGGCCTGTACCCCAGCTTTGTATAAATAAAACAAACTAATAAATAAATAAATCTTTTTAAAAAATGACACCACTCAAGATTATTATTTAGCTACAACATACTTGCACAAAGTCTATGTTAGATCTTTTGTGGCATTTACCACTGCCTAAGGTCTTGTGCTAAGTGATACGAAATTTCTAAACATTTAGTTTTTGTTTTCATGTTTTTATCATGAAAACAAAGGATAATCTCAATGACTTTTATTTTAAAAAATTTACTTGGGGTGGAATGTAAACAACCAGCAAGAACAAACAATTTATCTCAAAATACACTGAAAATTAGCAATTTCATTCAAATTTAAAAAATTACTAAGCAAGGGAGGTCCAAACTACATCTTCAACTCCAGTATATTCTGTACATAATAATTACTTGTCTCTCTGAAGATCTAGCTAAGTTTTTCTATTGCAGAAGTGTGGGTGTTCAAAAATATACCCACTGATTCACCCAAAGTTCTCTACCATGAAAAACATGTTTCCTATGCTCTGTAACATATTTGAAAATTCTTGCAATGAGAAGAAGCTAAATTTGCTGGTGGTGGTAAGTTGAAAACAAGATAAAAAGTTACAGACAAGACAGTGATAAAAATTACAAAAGGAAACATTAATTAGATACTTACATGCTGCCAGGGTTACTGATGAAAGAATAAGACACACAAAAAAATGTGACAGAGTAGAGAAGATATTGATGTTCCCAGGATGATGGAAAACAGACAAAGACAAGGTCCAAAAAAAAAAAAAGAGAGTGAAATAACAAAACTCAAAACAATGAATTTACATGAAAAATGTTACACAAATATCATGCTTCAAAATAACTGTGTAATCAGACAAAAATCAACAAATGTTAGTAAAAATTCTGTTACACTGTTATATCTAGACAATGGTTTTATTTGAATTTGTCTTTTTCCAAAGCCACTAAAAAACATTCTATATATTAATGTTACTTCAAGTATCCAGGTACTAATACCAAGAGAGAAAGATCCACTATTAAAAAAAAAAGTCTAGATATTTACAATTCATTTTAGCATGAATCTAAATTCCTATTATGTTGCTAACAAATGACATGAAATAATTATTTGATGTAAGATCCAGAAACAAATGGTTTATGAATCATTTTTAAAATCAGAGAATTAAAAAAAAATCATTCACTCTCATATAAGCAGTACATATTAATATAGCAGTATAATCTCATACAAATTATTTTCAATTATATAGTATAAAGAAATTATATGCTATTTGAACATTTTCTTATTTTTAAAAGTGTAATAATCGTGATGAAAAATAAAGGAATCATAGTGAGTCACAAAAAATGGATTATCACTCAATTTTCATACTCTCCCCTGTCATTATCAATACCCACATTTGCAAGCAAATTCCAACAGGTTTACAGCTGATTTGTGGGAACTCTAGAGTTCTATATCATCAGTGACCTAATTATTGCCTTGAAAGGCCTGACAACATATAGTAAAGGAACTAGGTTAAAAACATCTAAAGAGAGAAAAACATTACATACAATTCATTCACAGAGCCTATTAAATGTAGACCCATTAAAAATATATTAGTATCCCATTATTAGAACCAAAGTAAAAAGTCCATATTGTCAACACTGTTGAATCAATCCTTCTGCAATGACACTTAGAGTAACTAATAATAATTCATTATAATGTGAGGAAAACCACCTATCAGTTTTAATACTAAGACTGTTCAGGATAGATACATTTTCACACACCAAAGTCAATTTTACAAACTCAGGCTGAGCTGCACTGATGGTGATTGGCTGCAGAAGTGAGTTGATTTCAAAAACTTAAGTATATTTATTCTTCTCTAGCTGCAATGCAGAACATTTTATCCTCTGCCTTGCCGCTGTAAGTAATGGGAAAACCTTTTTCAAAACAACCTCTCCTGAACAAAATTAAATTTAAATATATACTTAAACAGTTTAAAGTTTAAGAAAAAAAGTTTTATCTCAAAAGGAAGTTAGGGGGGTATGTGCTATGGTGTGATGATGGGCAACGAGTGGACTGTTGACTGGTTTCAACCTAAAGATGTCAATTTGAATATGTTAAAAAATAATTTATATATATAGAAAATGTACTCCAACTGGAACAATGATTAGACACTAAAGTGCCATTTGTTTCAAATGACAGTCTGGTGAATTGGCTTCTTTTCTGGTTATGGACTTACTTCCTCCATAGTTTAGAGAAGTTGCAATCCACAAAAGTCTAAATTTTCTCATCAGTGAAATTTCTTTTTGATTTCTTCTAAGGACATATAAAAACTATATAAATACTGGCTTTTAGGCTAGAAATCTAAACAGCTCAAAATAAAGTATAATCAAATTCAATTATAGTGCATGCTCATTATTCACTAGTATTGCCTCAGTTCACTCAATATATCCTCAAATCTATAATTATTGAAAAAAAATACAAAGTCAAAGTAACAAAAATAAGCCCAGGTCACAAAAGTAGGTGATATAAATGAAGGCACAACAAATTTTTGGCTTCAAAAGACTACATTCAACTCCTAGTTCTACTACAGACAGATTGCTTGGCTTGAGAAAATTACTTCTTAGCATTCAAAGTCTCAATGAAAATTAAATCATATAATGCATTTCAAAACAACTAGCACAATGTACAGTAACAAATAAATCTGAATCTTGAATTCAGTGGTTTAAACACAAATTTATTTTTCCAAGTCCACCTTTTGTCCCTTATTAAGTTAGTGTTTGTTATGCTGGAATCATAACTAGTCAAAGTATTTGTGTATAATAATTTAATTTTAAACAGACAGTGAACAGGGTTTGAAGATATTTCACCAGTATACTGCTGTACAATATTCCTGTGCATATGTAAGATGAAACTATTCAATAAGGAGATCAGTTACACTGGAATATAGTTTCTCTAATAATTCAATAGATAATTCTCTTGGGTATTTTCAAATCAGTGATTTCTATATTTCCAATTCTACAGTGTAGTTGTGATATAAGGAAAATTATAAAGTTGTAACCTAAGGTCATTTTTATCTATTTTAAAGTAGGTAATCACCAGCCAGTACTGTTGATACAAAGGACACAAAAGTGATTCCCAGTATCTATGCCAACTACCTGAGACATTTAATAAGTTGGTAATTACTTTCTTTAACTTATTTCAAAGGTGTATACACTGTCTATCAACCAGGGGCATAGGACTGAACATACAGAGATTTATACCTTCCAACCACATTGAAAAAAAATCAAAACAGTCCTTAGACACTGGTTTTTGATATAAATTTGAAAATCAACTCAATTTTACATGTTATTTACTAGTGGTACACAAACTATGCTTTCTGTTCTATCTTTAGCTTTGTTTTCTAATAGACTTGACTGACAAATTATATTTCTCCAAGCATTACCTATTTTAAACCATGACACAGCAAACCTCACATATATTTATGACAAATGTTAAATACTACTATTTATTACCATAACAGAGCAATTCACCACAACACAGCAGTGCAAATCAAACTTATTGAAAACACTAAATGTGGTTATTCTGAATTATAGCAATTTTGCAAAATTAAACTATTTTGCAAAGATCGGGCATTCATGCTGTTTTTTCATATATAAATCACCATATTTCATCTCCAGTAATGTGGATACTAACTTTGTCACTTGTTTTTTCTGCAAAAATAAAAATATTTTAATGTATTACTACCATATCAATACAGTTTGTATCTTCTAAGCGAGGGTCTTCAAAATACCACAAAGGAACTGTTAGAAGAGACTACAGTCCAACAACACTGAAATTAATACGGGACACATGAAAGACTTACCTTTTGAAAGCAGTGGCACATTATAATGCAAGGGCACAGGAAAGGGAAAAGATAAAACTTAAAATACCTGATACAAAATAGATTCCCTTCCAGTTTGGAATTTTGATCTAAGTATAATAATGAAAATAGTTAATAAATGCAGCAAGCCCAAAAGATAATTTGTATATATAGAAGGAAGGTTACCATTTCTTAAAGTGCCTTGTTCATTACTATTTATAAAAAGGAATAGGAATGCTTACATAATACTATTAAGAAATATTCTAAAAATATCAATGTAATTAGAGACTTCACATTATTAGATAGGCTTAATTAATAAGGTTTATTTGTATCCAATATTTAGTAATCCTATAAAAGGTAGGGTGGCTATCAAACTGGCTATTAGCTATTAAACAAAAATCACTTAAAAACTAGTAGTCCTGTTTTGAGGAAAAAAGAAAACTTACATATTTAAATTTACATCCTCTGAATTCTTAAATTTTTGATTACTGCTGGATATTTTTAAATAAAAAGTAATTAATAAAAATGAAAAACTCATTTCGGAAGAGTTTCGTTACAGATCTTGTGTAACATAAAAATATGGGGAACCTTAATAATGACATAATTAGTAAAGAGTCTGCCATTTATTTCAGAGAAAATTTGACACTTGACATTAAAAAGGCATTCATACACACTTTGCTTTCAAAGACAGTAAGCTATCACCACCCTAACATCTCAACAACTTGTGAAATGAAACGATTTTTAAAACATACACAGTTTGCAAATGCAAAGCATCATTTTGCTAATGATACAAAATATGTAATAATGCCTTTTCTCCTGAATCTTGCACAGTGCAGGACTCCAGGAACATGCTCACAAATCACTGTCAACCGATCAAGGAGGCATAAAGGCCCTATAACTACACCACTGCCTAGAATTTTATTTGAAAATAATAAGCTTTAAGTCATTTCAAGTTTACAAGCCAAAGCCAAACTTATAAAACACAAAATTCAAGCTTGGTATTTTCACATTTTCAACAGCGTGCTTTTCCATAACCTCAATTTGCTTTTCACTTCTCCAGTTTTCCATTAAGACTTCTATAAAATTTCAAGCAATGTTAATAAGGAGAAGAGATTTTAGTTTAAATAGCTCCTTCAATAGACTTTTTTTTTCTATTGAACCTGAAATTCAGCAAGTTTAATAAAAGTAAACTTAGCATTCTGTGGAGCTAGAATTTGAAAGGTAACATCTGCCTTTTCAGGACATGTACTATGAATACTTTGAAATCAAATCTATTGTATTAAAATAGAAATACTGAAAAAAAAAAAAACCAAACTCACCCCAATACTACATGTTATTTCTTTTCCTCACATGAAAGAAGAAATAACTCTCTCTGATGGACACAAGATTTCCTCAAATACACATGAAAACATTAGAAAGCCACCCATAACCACAAAATTTATGTCCAGCTCAGTAGCTGTTGTTCCAGGTTTCCTGATCCTTCTCTCAGCAGCAGACTGGAAACCCGCCACCTTCTTTTCCAAAGCCCAACGTTGCCATGACAGCAGTGCTACAGAAAGCATAGCCCCTTCATTACACAAATTAACATTCGGAAGGAATTATCTCACAAAAGTAGCCATCCACATAATTGTTTTAATTATATTTTCCTGGGAACTGGCATTGGTAAAAATCACGCATGAAGGTTATTTCTCTTCATCTCCTCTTAAAGTACATTTTTGTCAAATAAATCCGATCAAAATGATTTCACAAAAGTGACTCTGGCTTAAAGCATGGTACTGAATTCCAAAAGGAATAAAAGAACCATCTATAAATGGAAGCTGCTGAAAACATAATTCAACCATTTAAAAAAAGTATATAGCTCCCAAAAGGAAAAATCTGTAAGGAATACATTCTCAAAGACTAATAACACTGCATACTTTGTGTCTACCGCTTTGAACTTATCCACTTTAGAAAAATCTTTACAATGAAAATATCTCTAATTTGCTTCTAATGTTTTTTAAATATCATTGATGTTGCTGTTCTGTCACTACAGATTTGTTCTTAAAGATTAAATTTCAGTTTAAATGTATCTGAAAGAATGTTAGCTCTGATTTATGCTAATGCACTAGGAAATAAACATGAATCAAAACTGAATTTATTTTGTCTTAAAACTACTCCCTAACCTAAAACTGCTCTAAAATAAAAGTTATCAAAGACTGCTGCAATCAAACAATTAAAAATAAAAAGGGCTGCTTTAGGGAAAAGAAGTCTCTTACAAACTCTTCACTGAACAGCTTTTGTATCTCCCTGTGATAGCCACTCTGTTTCAGATTTTGGTAGCCAATAAAAGGATTAAAAATTTGAGGAAGATTCAAGACTTGCCTTGCATTACAAGTGCCAGCTGCTCAATGTTTTGCTAGAACTTGGAGAAAGAATTCAGTAAGTTACATGATTCATGACCAGTCAAAATGCATAATTAGGTTTTGATTAACCTATAATTTTCTTGCAGAAAGTGCTTTAGGTATATAATATAAAGTTACATGTTAATGAAGCAAATAAAACTTTATCTCCCTTCAAACAACAGAAGATTCTGATGGGATGTAGTTTTCTAAAAATTGCTGAAAGAAGAGTTTTGATATGCACAGAAAGCACCCTTGTCCACCTACCCATTTTGCTGTTTACTGTCACCCTGGGATCCTCTTCTCTGTCCCTCTGCTACCTCCTGAGCAGTCTCGGAACACACGCTGGTGACTGTGGGCTGCCGTGGGACATTAACTGCAGTTTTACCAGAGCTCAGTGCAGATGAATGCTGCTCAGCACTAAGATTGGTATTAGCATGCAGTCCAGATGCAGTGAATTGGGGAGGAGTGACAGCAGCCACGGGTGGAGGGGAAGCATGTGATGAAGTGATCTCATGGGCTGGGGTGAAGGCAGACGATGGTGATGGGATGGATGTGGCTTTTAGTGAAGACACAGAACCAAAGGGCCGTGGTGTCTTATTGTAGGCCATGTTGGTAGTGGAAGTGACTTTGGACACAGCAGGAGATGGAATGGGCACAGGTTTAACTACTTCTTTAGGTTCTCCCTATGTAAAATAAAAATAAACATACACAAAAACAGACCAAATGCATGCAAAATAGATTCAGCAGAAAGAGTACACAGCTGTTTTTTAAAAAGACAAACATCCTGTTAGCAGTCCAAACTTATGTTTCCAAGAAAAAACAGTGAGTTGATATAGTTTAACATGCAAACTAACTGGTCCCAACATGCACGACACAGATGCATATATATAAGTATACATATACGTATATATTCGTATTAAAATTTATATTAAAATTTCAGAATATTTAGAACATTGAGCAGGAAAACTATCAAAAAAGCCTAAAGACCGTCATGAATGTCAATTTGACATATTCCAAAGGAAAAAATTTAAAATGCCCCACAATAAACAAAACATTGTGACTGAAACATTCATTTAAAAAAATCTAGTCTCAATTATAACTCCATCTTTCAAACATATTTAATTACTCTCTAAAGTACAATCATTTGATTCATGCAAAAGTAATAGCATATTACTAATTTTTCAATTAACAAGAAGCAAGGAATAAGATAAATTTCATCTAACTCAGAAATGTGTGACTACCTTGAATCAAGAAATTTAAAAACTGTTTTTTAAAAACCTCAAAGAATCAAACAAATAAACAAATAAAATTAACACTTTTACTATAATTCATGTGTTGCTGACTCTAGAATGTTCTGACATATGATTCAGAGATGAAATAAAATTCTCCCCTTTTCCAAAATGAATATTTAATAACTGCATGAGGAAAAAATTAATCTTAGCTGTTTCCTCATTGTCATAAAAAATAACAATAGGAAGACTCAATTCCTCAAAAAAATTAGCAAAATTTGTTTGTAAATCCATTCTTCAAAAAAAGTTTAATGTAAAAAATATAATTGAGGCTTCTTTATCATTCAAGAATAAATGCCTACTACCCTCACCATCCCAAAAGAAAAAAAAATTTTTTGAAAGAGCATAAAATAGTGGCTCTATTATGTTCATTACTAAGAAGAAAACTTAATCTAAATTAACCTTATAGAAATAATAAAGCTAATGAATGGGGGTGGGGTGAGCAGAAATAGGTTAAAACCTCACCACCTCAATAAAGTAAGTATTTCAATGGAATGGCACAAGTAAAATTAGGGAGAAAACCCCCAAAAGCATAAACCAGTTGTATATGAATAATAGTTTGGGACAGTTTGAGGAACTGTATGAAAGAAAATGTGCACTTGCCAATTACCTAATTAAAGATTACTCTGAAAATCTAACTAAAACTTATTAATAATAACATGGCATAATATGTTATTTGGAACTTATTATTGTGATATTCAATTTTTGACTACTTATTTATTCTCTTCAGAATATGTGAATAAGAAATTTAGATATAAGAAATGATTAATTTATGGCTTCAGAAATGGGGTTTTACTACTAAAAGTATAAAGATGGTAACTGTATATATTGATTACCATCCTTCTGTATTTAAAGAAAATGAACTGTGTGCAGAAAACTGTATTGAAACATAAACTCAATGTAAGTATGGGACTGCAATGGAAGTGACAGTAGCTCAGGAACAGACTATAAATGATTACCATAAATATGCTCGATAGGAAACATACCTTTTGAACAGGAACCAGCTCTGGCTTGGTTATAGCTGATGCTCTGGAGAGAAAGAAAAGAAAATGGAGGAAAAATCATGAATATTTGCAAGCTTGCAAACATCCTATTTAAAGACTATTTATTACTCTATACTTTAATATACTAATTCATCAAAATGTATAGTTTTATAATTCATGATTTTTACCATTGACAATCTACTGGTTTTGTAACTTATATCTGAAGATCCAATATCTATACTTGATATCCTTAGTTCTGGACACATTCAAATGAGGAAAGATAAATATCAATCCTGTTCACAAATGAACTTATGTTTATCTTTAAATTAAACTTATGTTTAATTTAAACTTATGTTTAATTTATCTTTAAGATAAACTTATGTTTATCTTTAAATTAAAAGCTATTCCCCACATAAAAGGGCAAAGTACACTAAAAATGATTTTCTGACCTTTAATGGTTCCTGAAACATCTAATTTGAACAATCTTTATCACCAACAGTATCTGAGTTTTCTAACATTCATGAACATGTCTATAGAGTATTAGTTTCTGTGAAGATACTGTATAAATTCTGATTGAATTGGGTCACTAAAAGAATGTTTATTTTGTATTTATATTTCTAAGGGCTTATACAATTTAGTGTATCTGTTACGCTAAAACTAATAAATATAGTCTTCCACTAAATTATAATTTCAGTCAGGAGAGACACTCTACTGATTGGGAAAAAATCTTTGCACTCCATTGAACTGATAAGGGACTGATCACAAAGACTCACATGGCTCAACAAAAACAAAATAAACAATCCAGTCAAGAATTGGGCAGAAAAACTTAAAAGAAAAGGAGGACAAAAATCAATGTGCAGAACTTAAACTATTTTCAAATTCAAATTATTTCTTAATTTTAATGTATACTTTTTTGTTGCATTAATACTGCCCCTTGGTTAGCATGAACTAATAGTAACAGTAATTGATTTGGAGCAATTTATCACATGTAATCAAGATAAATAAACAAAGAAGCAACTACCATTATTCCCACTTTTTAAATGAGAAAGTCAGAGTAAGAAAATTATCTAGGATGGCGCTAAAACCAACATTTGTTCTATATGGCTGGTTATAGTCAAGGATAACAACTAAATGAAGGGGAAAGCATCCAATAATTCGGCTAACTGCTAACATATATATTATGTTTTATAACTGCAGAAGCAGTTTAACTTCTCTACTATTGATAGTACACAAGCCTGAGGACAGGACTTCGAATGCAGAATTCAAGAAATGAAACTACATAGGTAAATAAGTGATAACAATTTTAAATTACAAAACCAGAGATCATTTTACTTATAAAGAAAGATCACCAAGAGAAGACACTAGCTTAGAATATTTGGTCTCTAGGAGCATAACCTAGTAATGAACTCTGATCAATGTTTTTAGCAGAAACTGAATTTTCCAATAACTAATTTGGTTAGCTAGAGCAAGGACCTACTGAATAATTGGCTAAACTAATGAGAGGCTACAATGGATGCAATACAGAATAATACTGTGCAGTTGCGTAACTTTCCATGTGAATGCTCAGACAATTTCTCTTTTAGTTTACAGGATTATTACTACCAGCAAAAGAAACAAGTTCAAGTACATACCAGTGGGCTCTTTCATTAAAATTTCACAATAAGAAATAATCACAAAGGATCTCTTATTAAACCACCCAAGACAGTGAAAGTTTGACATAATAAAGTGGATGGTATCGTTTTTCATCTGGACTTTTAAAGGTGTATGGAGCTCTTCTAGCAACATAAAAGAATTTATAAAAATAATCTTAAGTTGATTTAAGTGATTTGCTTTCCAAACTAAAAATAAAATGCATTATATCATCTATGTCTATGTGAACAACCATTCCCCAGCTTTAATTAGATATTCTCATTTAAATGCTAGCAGCAACAAAAAAGCCCTAGAAGAGCTAATTTTTCATTCATTTTTAAGTCTCATCTCTTTCTGAGAAAGCACTGATAAAAATGAGTCCTATCATGCTTTAAGAATTAAAAGGTCTACAGAAATACTATTTGAAATTTTGAATTCACAGAAAAATTTAAATCTGAAATTTGAGTTTATCCTTCCTTGCTTTCTCAAAAAATCTCACAAATACAATTTTATGAACAAAGGCATGCATACAAAACATGCTTTCATAATCCCAGGATTGAGACTACTAAACTTAAAAAAAAATAATAATAACCCACATCATTTTGTTGGGGGAAAAAAAGACTGACCTGTAATTAAAAAGCAAATAAAGTAAGTAGTTGACACTAGATACAACAAAAACAACTTCTATTGATTTAAATATTTAAAAAACTACCAAGTAAGTCACAGACACAAAAACCTAGAAGGTTCCCTAGGGTTATTCTATCACATGCCCATCAGGTATGCATCTGACCTTTACTGAATATTTAGAGGAACTCACAATACAAGCCATGCAAATTATTATTGAATTAAAAGCAAATTTAGCTCTCTGGAGTAAATGTAAGTTAACTTGTCTACAATAAAATTATTTGAAAAAATATTTTTGACATGGCATATATAAAAAATCTATAACATATTTTAAAGATGAGTATGTAACATCAATCTTGTATTTAAGTGTAATTACATGCTTTTATTTTTTCATACTTTTATAACACTAAAACTATAACGGTACAGGAAATTCAGTACATGACAAATGAAACCTGCAAAAGTAATGAATAGCAATTAACACTAACATTTAAAAACTCAATTGAGTTATCACAGAATAACAAAATAAAAAGAATCACATTTATTTGCAAGTGTGTAAATTCTTTTTTTAATGTTAATAACATTCCTGGAAGGACTATATTAGTACAGTGCTTGTGGAAAATTATTTGGTATTTACTTTTCAAAAATCTTGAAGACAATTCATTCCCTTTGACCAGAAAAATCAACATTTAGGGAACTATCATAAGGAAATAATATGAAATATGGAAAATACTATATTTGAAAAGATTCATTTTATACACTATAATTTATAATAGTAACAATTTGGAAACAACTGATTAAATATACAATGAGAATGTGGGTAACTGTAACATTATGAATAACAGTATGCAATGATTAAATAGTTTCTAGAAATAATTGAGTTGATTGCTAACATGCTTACTTTATAATGTTTATAGAAAGTGGAAGATATAAAATAGCATATATAGCATGATCAGTACATGGGAAAAAGTGGGTGGAAACACACCAACATTTTAGTGGAGGGTCTCTATGAATGATATTTGTTTTTACTCTTGTGTGTTTTTTATATTTTATAGACTGTACATCTACTACGTTTTATAATATAGGAGACTAGTTCTTAACACGTTCATAGAAAACCACACACACACACACACACACACACACACACTCTCTCTCTCCCAGAAAACATGAAGTTAAAGTTACATAAACATCTTAACCACAGGACTTCTCACAGCCATTAATGCCTAAAGAAAAAAAATTATGAATTATTGTCCACACCCATTTGAAATATGGAATACTCAGTTATTTAGAATATTCATTTATTTAAAAAATATTTCTCAACACTAAAGTTAGGAAGGGGAAAAGAAAACCCTCTGGGAAATGCTATTTTAAGGAAACAATCTCTATTAAGACTGAAATGTTTACTTACATCTCTTAAAACTGGCTAAAGGGCCTCCCCGGTGGTGCAGCGGTTGAGCGCTGGGCTGCAAAGCTTCCTGCAGCCTCTGCAGCGCCGGTTCAACCCAGGACGCTGGGCGAGGGTCCCACATGCCGCGCAGACCTCTCCTGCTGCCAGCTGCTCCCCTCAGCAGTGTACTTTGTCAATCTGCCTGCTCTGCTCTGCTCTCTGCTCTGTCTCTGGTGAATTTTCTCACCCTCCCTCGCTTCTGACTTTACCCAGTGCTTGTATAAAAAAAAAAAAAAAAAAAAAACCTGGCTAAAATTAAGGGAAAGAAAAACCAAAATCTATAAACCACTCAAAGTCTTCTGCTATAGATTATTTCTTATTGAACTTGTGCTTTCTTAAACATTACATTTACTAAAAAACCAAAGATTATGATTTAATTTAATCAATGTTTAAGGAGGAACATCCCACTTCACTTGCCAAACTGAAATACATAGTTCTAATATACCCTGGGGAGAAAATACTAATATATGAATAAGGAAAACAATTTGAAAAATATTTCTCAAAATTAAAAGTTTTACAGTTATCTTTTTAAAAGAGAAAAGTAATATAGCAGGGATCTGCTATTTCACTTTAGAAATGCTATATATACGTAAAAGTAAATAGTCCTTAAGAACTTTTAAGTAAACAGTCTCTAAACTGAGGTAGTAGTATAAAAACTTACTCCTACATTTTTCTCTTCAAATTTGAGAAATGTATAATGGTACACTCTCTCCTTCAACATAGTGAGCATCAGAAGTCACTATTGTGTGGTGGCCTCTCATACCAGCAGAAGCACCGGCAATGGTTTAGTGCCATAGGTGTGAGACTTTGCTTACTGTTCTCCCTTTACTTAGTCAGAGCCAAGATAGTGAAACCAATGCATTGGCCAGTGCTATCCTCAACTAGTGGAAATCAAAGAAAAAAAGTTATCAGTATGGCTACAATAATTTATTAATTTTTTTAAAGATTTATTTATTTTATACAAGAACCGGGGTACAGGCCAGATGCACGGGAGGGTGAGAGGATTCACCAGAGACAGAGAGGGGAACAAAACAGGCAGACTGATGAAATACACTGCTGAGGGGAGCAGTAGACGAGATAGGAGAAGTCTGCCTCGCAATGTGGGACCCTCGCCGGCCGGCCAGGATAGAACAGGTGCTGCAGAGGCTGCAGACAGCTTCACAGTGCAACGCTCAACCACCAGGGGAGGCCCTCTACAATAATTTATATTGAAAGTTGACGGATACAAAACCTCTGATACATTACAACCAGTTTCAGAATTTTGATTAAACAGTGAAAAGAGTTCTAAGTTACAGTAGAAACTAGATTTGGAATGCCTTGGTTAAAATATGTACAGGAAAATTAATGCC